CATAGCGAACTATGTAGGCGCCCGTACATACACATAGCTAACTATGTAGGCGCCCGTACATACACATAGCTAATTATGTAGGCGCCCGTACATACACATAGCGAACTATGTAGGCGCCCGTACATACACATAGCTAACTATGTAGGCGCCCGTACATACACATAGCTAACTATGTAGGCGCCCATACATACACTAGCTAACTATGTAGGCGTCCGTACAAACGCATAGCTAACTACGTAGGCACCCCGTACATTATAACTGACATTTTGTGGACGACTCCGATGCAAACTGTAGTTGAACAGCGTCGAATAATCTATAGAGCATTAGGGAGTACGTGCCTGTGCGCTGAATACAGTAAACGCGTTAACGCGGCGTACGCATATGCTGTCGTTTTACCGCTAGCTAGTTCTGTGGCACTTGATTGGCTTTTATTGTAGCATGCTTGGTCTTTCGATCATGAAAGCGCAACTAAACTTCGAAGGGGTGATTTGCGATCCCGGTGTGCAAAGGCAAAGGCAAAGCGTAACGTCGTTTTATGAATTCGTAAAGAGCCACTCTGCGGACTGCTTTTTTTTCTTGAAAAATCATAATTTCATCTGCATTACTACTAATACGATCAAGTGCATCCTGAAGCCGAAACAAATATAAATAATGAGCGCCCAGGCTTACTCTGGAGAAAGTGTCTTGCCTTAAGAGGCCGCTCCGACGAATAACGCTAATGTAGTTTTTTTCTCGAATGTTTTGCCTCACAGATAGCTACCCCTCCCCGATGTGTTCGTTTCCATCCTGGATGACGTCATTGGGTAAGTGGCGGACGCTTCAAGGTCATGACGAGTTTATCGTCGGCAATGACGGTGGCATCGTGACGACATTTAACTCCCGTCACAGAGTCGAGCGCAGCGACCGATGCATCGAAGTACAGAGCCACAGCGATAACATGACAACGCTCGTTGCATTCACGATTAAAGGATGGTAAGCTTACATATGCGCTGAGTCGGGCGGATGTTCGTTTCAGACTGTTTTTTATCTTTCATGCGGCGGCTCTATTCAGTCGGTAATGAAACTTCCCCCCATCAACTTCGTTCTGATTTTCAAACGCGCCGACCTCACCGTAACAATGGCGTTTAAATTATATTTTAGTATACCGTACAGGTATTTTTGAATAATTAACTAAAATGAGGAATTTGAGGACGGTGGATGCAGTCGGTCTGCCGCCATGCTCGTAATGGCGCCGCCTGGCGACTAGAGCTGCCGCGTGCGCGCGGCCCGCATTCCCGTGTGTGTAGTAGCTATTCGTTAAGAATCACCTATGTTTTGTTCGCGTGCAGACGTAAGGAAATCGAAAGCCTGGCGCCGCACTAAACTATTTTACCTGTAACACGCTGCAGATAGCACGATGGTCTATTGATATTGCTGTAGACTCGTGCAATTAGGCATTCCGCATGAGGCAAGCGGCTTGACTGTTGTTTTTGTCATGTCGACCGAGAGATCAATCGGGAGTGTTTCATATCGGCGACAGTAAAGCCGCCGACAATCGATCAGCATAAAATCACTAATTGCATTGATTGATGTAATTGGATTTCCAAGTTTGGCGACCAGTTATGGCATGTCGGGAAGGCAGGCACGATAAAAATTCATGCGAGTATTTGCATGTTGCGTATATATATATATATATATATACATGAGCTGATTCATCCTGGAAAACATACGTATACAAATAGGAAACTCTAGAGGCGCGCGATCAATAGTAAATAGATGAATGTATGTAATGTACACAAAATGTATCAATAATTACGAGAAAAAGAGATAAGGAGGCAGGAGATAGATAGATAGATAGATAGATAGATAGATAGATAGATAGATAGATAGATAGATAGATAGATAGATAGAGAGAGAGAGAGAGCGCGCGAGAGACAGAGCGAGATAGGGAGAGAGAAAGAAAGAGAGAGAGATAGATAGGGAGAGAGAGAGAGAGCGAGAGAGAGAAAGAGAGAGAGAGAGAGAGAGAGAGAGAGAGATGAGGGAGGGAGTGAGGTAGGGAAGGATAATTGAGACAGAAAGAACGAATTACCATTTATTTGCTTACTATCTTGCTAACTATGCTACTTATCATAAGAGGGTTTCTCGAATCAATTCGATCTCGAGGGAAACGGGGAAGGAAGAGAGAGATAGAGAAACGAGAGAGCAAAATATCAATATATATATATATATATATATATATATATATCAATATCAATATCAATATCCATAATATATATATAAGATATATATATTATATGGGAGAGAGAGAGAGAGAGAGAGAGAGAGAGTGTGCGAGCCGTGCATACAACTTGACTTGTACTCATTCCAGCCATCGCGGATACAAGTGCTACAAGATCCACAAGCGAGGTCAGCAGATTATTGAGATCGAGTCTGGATTCCTCGTTCATTCCGTCGAGGGCGCGTGCAAGGACGAAAACTTCGTGTCAAGGGACCATTTCGAGACTCTAGTGCCAGGTGCGTACGCGGGCGAGTCAGCCCTTATAGACCCCGCTCAATGATTAGATTCGTTACAGAAAATGGCGATAAAATGCTGCGAGTTTTGCTTCGCGCAGATCTTAATTACTAGATTGTCCGAGAACTTACCAGCTTGGGAGTGAGGATGCAACTTGTGGCAATCATAGGAGCGCTAATTTCAAAAACTGTAATTTGGTAGCGCGCATTTTCTCGTCCGTTTTTTGTGAGAAGCCAAACGTCGACGATCGCTTTTGCAACGCACACATGGGCAGTTTTTTAATTATTATTTATTGCTTTATTTATTTTTTACATATATTTCGTTAGCTACGCCACTGACCCCAGAGAGTTGCCCTCACGGAGGTCGCTATGAGATCATGGAGACGACCACAGACGTGATATGCAGTAACCGCAAGTCTACGGCCAGCTTCGGATGCGAGAACCAGAATGAAATCACCGTAGAACATCTCTGCGAAGGCAATAGCATCAATGACGTAGAGCTTCAAGTTGTAAAAGGTGCGCGTCATCGCCGCGTCTCTACTGCTGCAATAACTCGTCGCCTGGTCGTTAGACATACGTAACGCATTGACGCGTGAGTGCGTGCGTGCGTGCGTGCGTGATTGCGTATGAGTGTGTGTGTGTGTGTGTGTGTGTGTGTGTGCCTTTGCACATGTGTGTGCATGTGTGTGCACGAACTTGTGTACATGTGTGCGCGTGTGTATGTATGTGCGTGTATGTGCGTGTGTGCATGTGTACGTGTATGTGCGTGTGTGCATGTGTGCATGTGTGCGTGCGTGTGTGTATGTGTGTGTGTGTGTGTGTGTGTGTGTGTGTGCGTGCATGTGTGTGTGCGTGCGTGCTTGCGTGCGTGCGTGCGTCTGTGTGCGTCTGTGTGTGTCTGTGTGTGGGTGCGTCGGTGTGTGCATGCGTATTTGTGCGTGCGGGTGTGTGCGTGTGTGTGTGTGTGTGCGTGCGTGCTTGCGTGCGTGCGTGCGTGCGTGCGTCTGTGTGTGGGTGCGTCGGTGTGTGCATGCGTATTTGTGCGTGTGTGTGTGTGTGTGTGTGTGTGTGTGTGTGTGTGTGTGTGTGTGCGTATGCGTGTGTGTGTGCGCGCGTTCGTGCGCGCGTATAACGGAGAAAGGCAACGGTTGAATGAAATGAAACGAACGATAAGGAGGACGCAGAATGAATGAATGATAGCGAGACGAGATGATGAGTGAACTTGCGATGCTGACCTACATTGCGTTATTTCCCACTGCGTCCGCCTATTTATTATTTAAATCCTGCTGCGAATCACGCGAGCGTAGTGTTAACTCGCCACGTTCATTCACGCGATGGCAAGTATTGTCCGCTACTCAAATACGATAATAGCTCGAACATTCGCTGCGCTCTCGATTCCCTGGCGCGTCTAATGCAAACTGATGATGCAAACTAATTTTTTTCTCTGCTAAACAAAAGCCAAACATTTTAATCTTTAGATATCTACGACTGTCACGGCTACTGGGAAGAGGACGGTGTACATTATCTGGTCGCCAGTGATAAAAACTCCGCGACGATCTGCATGGTGAGTGTCGTGAAAACCCGTCGTGGCTCGAAATGCACATCGCATTATGAAATTAATGCAAACATGAAAAGCGGTTCTAACTTCTGCGGCGAGAAGATAAAAAACACGTTCTCAGTGTCGAGATCTGCAAAAATCACCAGCGGGTTCTATTGTCCAGCCTATTGTCCATCTATTGTCCATCTATTGTCCATCTATTGTCCAGCCTATTGTCCATCTATTGTCCAGGAGTTCTCCCAGCGCAGGTGCCGAGAAGGGAAGGAACCTCATGTTTGTGTGTTCCGTTGGTTTAGGTGTTCAGCCATGAAGACGGTGCAATGCGAATAGCGAATCACCTTACGTCTTGCGAGCGACCATCTACTCGTTACTTGGATAAAGTCACCGAATTCAGCGTCACGTCACTGGGTAAGTGCGCGTCTATTTACAAAATATTAAGAGTACATAATAGAATGTCTACTAGTACTCTAAGTCTATTATGTACTCTTAATAATATTACGACCGTCTCCTTAAAAATGATTTAGAAAGGGGATGGGAGCGAAACACGGGTGCACCATAGTCAGTAGTGATAGGGCCATTAGGGGTCTAAACGAAATCCTCTGTGCTTCTTTTATGCAGTAGCGCACGGCTGTAGCCAATGTGTAGACCGCACAAATTTGGTATTCGTCTATAATGTCCTATGTGAAAAATGGTTGTGTTTACAATTGAATCTTTAGAAGAGAAATAGTAGGACAATTTTTTCGTGCGTTTATTATAGCGAAACATGGCGTGCAGAAACAACCCAAAACATTTTAGTGAATTGGAAATATTCATTTTCGCTAAGGAGTTACGGTCCTCCTTGTGATGGAATTCTGCTTGATTTGTGGCACCGTCAGTGCTTGTGTAATTTCTGTCAGTTGCAGCTGGTTCGCAGGATTATTTCTATTTTCACTCTCACTTTCAGCGCGCAATCACCGATAAAAACGTTGGGGGTGGGGAATGGGGTCAACAGTAAATAGCAATTTGTCTTTTTTGGGTAATTTCTACATTCACTTTTCACTTTTAGCAGACAATTAACGATAAAACATTTAGGGTCGGGGTGTGGCGTGACGCGGGTAACCATTTTTGCTTTTCGTCTAACTATGCCTGTGTGTCATCTCTGGGATATGATGACAATATCCGCATGTTAAGCCGAGCCGAGCTTTAATTCGATCCCCGTTTCACCTGCCTGCGTCGGTAGCTCTAATCGCTGCGCGTTATCATTGCAGGTCAGTGTTATTCATCGTCCGCGGGTGGCTTCCCTGGGGGCGGAGGATGGCAAGCCTTGCTTCTCATCGTTGGCTCACTGCTCCTGACTGCTGCCAGCGCACGTCTATAGTGTCATCACACGGCAAAGCTCAGTAAAAAAATGCCATCCATTTTTTGGGAAAAAACGGAAAAGCCGTTGCTGAGGAGTGCGTTCTAGCACTTTGCGCGTGCGTGTAGAGCGTCGCTAGAAGCCCCCGTGCGTGCGTGTATGCGTGCGTGCGCGAGTGCGTGCGTGCGCGCGTGCGTGCGTGCGTGTGTATATTTGAGATTGCAAGACACTGTATTGTATACAACACCGCGCGGTGACCCTGCTCGATGTTAGCGCTAGCCACTACAATACGATGTACTGCGTTATAGAGGCGGATTGATAGCGGTCATTTTATCATGCTGTTCGTTGTAAGTGTCACATTCAACGTCTAACTCGCAACGAAGTCGTATTTTTTCCCGACGGGAAAGGGGGCATACGCAGGCACGAAGCGTTGCGCCCACGCCGCGGTCATCAGCAGGGAATTTGTATATTTTACAGTAGCGCGTAAGGCGGCACTCCTTCGTGAACTGGAAATGGCGCCCGTCTACCTGCGCCTACCTTAGTAGTAGTAGCGTAAGTCAGGAGTTTAACTTCTGGGAAATTCGTCATCAGTTCGGCACTTTACAGGGCTTCCATGAACTATCATTTTCCTGGTAGATATTTTGTTATTTGGAATAAGGAGTTGAATATTATTTTTTGCGCGAGCATGATTTTTTTGTCCGATTTAGCCACGAGGCAAGACTCTCTGCGTAGTAACATCGTTTTAAATTGCGCATGTATCTCAACAGTCCGAGGAAAACGAAGCACACCCAATTTAATGTAACATAACACGTAGCAATGTGAATACTGTCATTTAACGTATTGATATTTAATATAACGCGACAAAATGGGTGAGATACATATGAGATACATATGAGATACATATGAGATACATATGTACGTTGCTTCAAAATGTGGCACATTGTGGAAACGTATGCCGATGAACATTGCAACCATTTATAAAGATTAACACTGCTTAAACGCTAGTAGTTGGTTCACGCAGTAAAGAAACTGTAGACTGATGTGATATATGTCTGAGCATGCGCACATACTGTGATAAAAGAGGACCTTGTAAATAAGGATAGCAGAATGAGGATTATTGTGTCAGCTATTGTAATTGTAAATAAATGCTTCCTAACGAGTTTTCCATTAAATATATATCTATATTATTTGATCCCAATTATCTTGCATTGTATATAGTTACTTTGTAGTGCACCCATGGTACGTAGATCAATCATACGTCATATTACCAACACAAGATTTGTCATTTCATTAGCGACCTTTACGCACTATGCTGAATAAGATCAAATGGAGTAATAATGTAATAAATAATTACATAGTTAATAGCCATTTACTACTTTACCCATTATTAGATGCAGTTTCGGAAGATCACAATGAAGTGATCAACACGAATAACATACTCGTCACACGCATAATCTTCTCTACAACGTTCTCCCAATCTTTCTCTCTCCTTCTATCGCTCTATAGTTCCTCTCCCCCGCCTTTCTACATTTCGCTCGTTTTCTTTCTCTCCAACCATCTCGCTATCACCCTCTCTCTCTCTCTCTCTCCCCCTCTCTCTCTTTCTCTCTCTCTCTCTCTCTCTCTCTCTCTCTCTCTCTCTC